ATCAAGATGTATTTGCCTAAATTATAAATTTACGTCAATTGGGAGAGAATGAATTATGAATTACAATATGCAAAGAAATACTTTTTTGTATATTAAAAATAGGGATAAAGTTCATTACTATATTTTATATATTATTTTATATTATATTAGGTATTAATATTTTAGTATATTGCGTGGCATAAGGTTTAATAGCTTCTGTCGTTTGATTCGTTTAGAATGTGTAGTTTTTACCTTCTTGCATCTGAACTATATAAATCTGTAGGTTGTTTTTGTTTGCCTGTTTGTATTCGATTAAATTGAAATTTTCATGAAATCAATTACAGTTGTTTAAAGTATGGGATATTTCATTTGCTTTATCAAGTATCTGAGACTTGGATTTAAAATATTAATTATATTTCTCTACATTAATTGTATCAAAATTTATTTCCCCTTCTAACATAATCCATCTGTTCTACGTTGAAGTGCTAGAAAATTAAGAAAAATTACATATTTTATCAGAAGACCAGACACATTTTTAAAAGTATCCAGCAAACAAAATTTCCCATGGAATTTTGGGGATGATTTTAAATAGATCTACACCAATAATTATATATTTAATAGCTCTAAAATAATAGTAATAGGAAAAATGATAATGGCGTAGGTTCCAAGTCTTTCTTCGCTGAAACTAAAAAGATGAATTTCTTATCCAGATAAGAAATTCATATTTTTAAACTAACTTAAATAGATAATTTGAATTTTGAAAATAACTTTTGCTCCGCAAATATATTTTTGAATAAGAAAACCGAAATAGAGAATTACAAATATTCCTGTTGTTTGTAATTATATGCAGTTTAATTAGCTAAGTGGTTTATTCATCTCTGGTTGCGTCAAAAAGTGACAAAATCCCACGTGCTGTTTCGTTTATTATGTGATTCACATTTCCAACTTCAAAAAGCGCAATCGTATTCAATTGTCCATTTAATGAACTAAAGTGTTTTATTAAATCTTATCTTTCACATATTAATGCAAGAAAAGTGTACAGAAGTTTATTTGGCAGATTATTTATTGTGTTAAAAATTCCTTTTTATATACATGGACATTAACAGGCACTAATAATCCATCGTCAGAAATAAAAACATTTTTGTAATAGCAAAGCGTGGTTTCGATACACGGAACTCTGGGTTATGGGCCCAGCACGCTTCCACTGCGCCACTCTGCTCGGTTGAACGCGTTGCCGTAATAATCTAATAAAACATACCGTTATTAAAATGTTCAATCTTTACGATTTGTTCATAAATAATATTTTTAACAATTGATACTTTTTTAGCTTAACACATTCAAATAAACGAAGAGAATAACAATAATTTAATGTTTCACACATTAATGTAAGAAAAGTGTACAGAAGTGTATGTAGCAGTTGGTTTATCGTGTTAAAGTTTGCTTGTGATATACGTAGATCTGATGTTATCCATCGTCTGAAATAAAAAAATGTTTTACTAGCGGAGCGTGGTTTCGATCCACAGACTTCTAGGTCTTGCGTCCAACACGCTACCACTGCGCCACTCTGCTCCGAAAAGCACATTGCTATAATAATCTAATAAAACATACTGTTATTTTTGTTATAAGAATGTTCAATCTTTACCGTGTGTTCATAAATGATTTTTTTTAACAATTTACAATTTTTTAGCTTAACACATTAAAATAAACGAAGTGTTTAGCAACAATTTTATCTTTCACATATTAAAGTATAGAAAGTGTACAGTAGTGCCTTAGACAGATTATTTATTGTGTTAAAATTCATTTTTATATACATGGACATTAACTGGCATTAATATTCCATCGTCAGAAATAAAAAAAGGTTTACTGGCAGAGCGTGGTTTCAGGGGCATATTTTGTTCACGATTGATATCTTCAACTATCTTGGAGGCACTTCTTCACGATGCACCGAATGGTGTACAACGGGATGAAGTGTCTCTAAGAGCCGTTAATGCGCTGAAGAACATTTAAAAATAATTTTAGATCGCTATCCTTCTATCATTATTGTTTAAAATATTTTCTGACATACCATGATTTTGCATTACATGCATTTGTAAGTATGAAGTGAGCGCAGATTATTGAAAAGGTTATCTGCCATATGACAAGATGAAGGCAGATGAAATAAAATAAGATTTATGGCAAATTGCATTTTATCCAACATTAGTTTAAATTCAATAATAAAAAGGATCTTTCGCAGAACATATTCCAAATATTGTTGATGAAAACAAAATGCTCTTGACAATTAAAAAATGTAAATGTAACAATTAAAAAATAGTCCTATATTTATTCATTCATGCTTGCCAGTGGCAATGATTATTAATCAGCAATATAAAACATTGTTAAGCAAAAAGTCAGATGTAAGTTCTTGACACCAATTAACGATCATTTACATTTGAACTTAAATAAGCATATTGAGTATTAATTCCAATTATTGTTCAATTTATGTAATAATTGAAACTTTAACGCTTATTATTAAACAATTTTACAGTAAAAATATTAATTTAATGCCTTAATGATCATGCAATCATTAATCACAACACTCAGCATAATGCTTGATATTTTATTATAGATTTATTTTTGATCCCGTGGTTTTTTTAATGCCAATATTCGCTACTCAAAGTACTCTCAGCTTACAGACCATGTGAAAGCTACGCATTTATTTATTACTCTGCAATGCCTGTATGGGCGTATGTTTCGTCGTTTATATTAATAGATATCTACAGCGGTTTCAATTCTTAAATTTTTACAGTATTTGGTACACAGTGAAGAATTAGAGGATTCAAGAAAATCTATAAATTATTAGATTTTCTATAGTTTCTAAATAATGTTAAAAAAATAAGGACTGAATGTAAGAAAATAGTAAAAGTAGGCAAATTTAGGGCGCAAGATGAAATCCCATTGTAGGATTTTTTACTATATCTTGCTTTGCATTACCATCACGGATTAGACTGCCGCAGTAAATAATGAACTGGGTTTTTTTTCTCATCACCTCACCCTTGTACCTTGGGCTATAAATCATCTACATGTTAGAAGTTGTGTGTGATGCATAGTTAATTCTCATGCATACCAGGTAAATGACAACGAAGAGCTTTGAAATTTGGATATTTCTTTGTGGCAGCATCTTAGAGTGCCAGATGGAAGCGAATCCTGATAACTCCCAGTAGGTTGATTGACCATCGATGCTTTTCAAGGCCTGATGTTGACTATCGAAGCCTGGCTATCGTGACTCCTCGTTCCTGAAAGCATGGACTACAGAACGGCTCGCAGAGATTCGAACCTGGTCCTTCTGCACGCATGTTGCCATCGGGCCACTACTCGGGTGGAAAGGAGATCAAAAACGAGATGGTGAAAAAACTCTGTGCCTGGATTGGATGCAATATATCTTCTGACCAAAGACTTTTTCAACTTGAAGAACGGGAACTCTGCTTTACCTGGAGTGCACCGTGCATTTCATTTTAACTTTAGGATTCGATTAGTCATCACACCTTTAAATTCGCATCCTCGATTATGGTCTCTGAAAGCTTTGAAGCTGCCCCAGCCGTAACGGAAGAATAAATAGGCCGCCTAATAATTTAACGTAGTTACCGGTATTTACTTACACAAATAAGTCAGTATGTAAGTAATATAGTTTGTAATTACATTCTTACAATAAACCTAAATTTTTACTTTGGACAAGAATTCTAACTAGAGTAACGGACAAAATTCGAACCCATCCTCACAACTTTACTTTTAACCATAAAAACTTGTTGGATTTTTTCTCTTTTTTTTTTTTTTTGCCTTTAAATATTATTTAACAAACATTGTTTTCACTATTTGTATGAAGTTGAATATTTCTGTACTTTTATTCAAATTTACAGTTATTGGCGTTAATTTGTAGCTTTTATTTGATCTTTAAATTGTTCTAAATTTATTAATAATAAAATGTTTAGTTTGATGAAAATTCTTTAATTTTGCTGACACCTTTCATTAAAATCAAGATTCTCCGCTTGTTTACTCTAATAGAGCAACTTCATTGTCTCCATTAAACCAAATATTTCAGTGAGTTTAATCTAAAAACAACAACAGCAGATAGTGGACAATGATGCGCTTATGTATCGTGTATCTCCCGAATATTGCTTTTCGTTAATTCAACTTGAAAAGAAACTGTTGCTTTTTAAACTCTTTATTCGGGCGGGCTGTGAGATAGCGTTAAAGAAGAAATTAACCGAGTTTTGCATTCATGTTAAATCTCCGTATAAAATTATTTGTAATGTACAGAACTATCAAAGCAGATGTTGCACGCAATATCAGAGTCCATATTGTAGAATTGCCTGTAATGGTGGGGTTGATGGAATCTTGAGAAGGGGAACATGGTAGTGGTTCATATGACGTCACTTCTCTTCTTACGCAATTCGATATTTGAGTTCAATATCGTGTGTTTGAGACATCATTGAGAGAGAATGTTGTGTCAGCGGTGCTGTAATTTTTAATGATTACCATGTCCAAATTGCTATTGGTAATTGCAGAAGAAAGTAGGATGATCAGATTGCTCATGTTGATATGCTATAGATTTAAATAATTGTGAGTTTAATGACTTTGATCATAACACCATGTGTTTTGTTTATTGTTGAAGTCGCCCATAATATTGCCTTATCGCTGTAATTGACGATGTACTAGTTTTATGCACTTCGGAGGGGAGGGGGGGGG